GCAAAGTATATAATCAATCTGGTTTCGGTATTGACCATCTGGTGATGTCCATGTGTAGAGTCGTCTCTTTTGTTGTTGGAAAAGAGTGTTTGCTATGACTAGCTTGTTCTCTTGACAGAACTCTATTAGCCTTTGCCCTGCTTCATTTTGTACTCCAAACTTGCCTGTTATTCCGATTACTCCTTGACTTCCTACTTTAGCATTCCAATCCCCTATGATGAAAAGGACATCTTTTTTTGGTGCTAGTTCTAGAAGGTGTTGTAGGTCTTCATAGAAGCGGCCAACTTCAGCTTCTTCAGCATCAGTGGTTGGGGCATAGACTTGGATGACTGTGATATTGAATGGTTTGCCTTGGATACGCACTGAGATCATTCTGTCGTAACTAACTGTATTGCCATTCAAATCTGCTTGCACCACTCCAGCTCAAATCTGCTCAGCTCCCCCCACCCCATCTGCTTTTCTTCCAGTTCAGGGACTCCTATCTTATCCTTTGGAGGGAAAAGTCAACTAGAGAATTGCTGTTGGAAGGGGGAGAACCTCAGGCAGGAAAGGCTACACAGTAGGCTCTTCTTTCTGAAATGTCTAAACATGGCCTTTGATGTTTACTTTCCATCTAAACAAGATCAAAATAATTTTTCCTACAACTGGGTCTCATGTACAACTTAACCCAGAGGTCATGAGATACAAGTTCAAGCCACACTTATGCCAGGCAACTGAGTTCACACTCAGGTTCACACACCTCATGAAGATGCCAAATGGTTTGTACAGTTCGGGTTTAGCTTGCAGAGCAGAGCTAACTTTTGTGGTTCCTCCAGCAAACCTTGGCTTGATGCAGTGTGCAAGCCTGGCCACTGGGTGACCTAAGCCAGCTGTGGGTCCTCTTCTGCAAAAATAGTTTAGCCTGACCATTGATGGGGGCGGGGGGGAGGGGGAATTCAGATTGCCAGCTGAATGAATGAATGAATGAATGAATGAATGAATGAATGAATGAATGAATGCATTTTTATTA